CATCCCCATGTCCCTTGTCCCCATGCCCCTGTCCCCCTTTCCCCATGCCTCCATCCCTATGGCCCTTGTCCCTTTGTCCCCATGTCCCTGTCCCCCTTTCCCCCTCCCCGATCCCCGTGTCTCCATCCCTATGGTCCTTGTCCCCTTGTCCCCATGTCCCTGTCCCCCTTTCCCTCTCCCCAATCCCCGTGTCTCCATCCCCATGTCCCTTGTCCCCATGTCCCCATGTCCCAGGTCTCCATGTCCCCTCTCCCCGTGTACCTCATCCCCATGCCCCCACAGGCATCCCTCCCCAGCTCTATGGCCAGACCACTCACCTGGTGGGCACTCGCTACAGCACTTGCCATCTTTGGGGTAGGTGTTCCCGACACAGTGGAGCGTGGCCGCGGTGCCCAGCACGAGCCCCAGGAGCTGGACAGCTGAGTGAGGCGCCCTGGGCCACTGAGCCCCCACAACCACCCTCATCTCTGCCCGGTGCAGGAGTCTGGGGTTTTTCCTTGCAGGATGTGGCTATAAGGGCTGCGGGGGAGGGGTGGGGAGGGAGGGAGGAGGGGGGGACCAGGAGGAAGGAGGCCCAGGATGGGCTGGCGACCCCTGACCCGGGCTGGTGGCAGGAGGGCAGCCTGTCTGGGATGTGGGCTTCTCTTCTGCCCCGGGGCCCGGCCCCCATCCCCTCAACGACACCTACTAACCTCAGGCTCAGCCAGCTGGCAGCTGGGCACCAACCCAGACCCCTCCTGCAGCATGCAGACAGACCCCGGGGCCAAAGTGCGGCCCCACAGCCCCCTGGCCCCTGCCAGGCCCATCCGGTCTACACCCACCCCCCCGACACGGGACCCCTCTGGCTCCCATCTCACCAGGGAAGCGGGGCACCCTGGATGCCTTCCTGCCCTGCTCTGCCCACTCAAGCCACTTGGAGGAGGGTTGGTCTCAGAACCCCTCCAAAGCCCGCTCCTTCTGGGCACCCACTCTCCCTGTACAGGGCAGGGTCGGCCCCTCCAGGGGAACAGGCGGCTGGCTATTCCTACCCCCCCCACACACACACACACACAAAAGGCCACATTCACGCCAGTCTTCACCCCCTCAGCAAAAGGGTGCACAGAGGACACGGGTGAACGGAGGCAGCACACTGGGTCGGGAGACAGGCCCTTCACCATCTGGACCCGTGACTGGGCACCAGCTCAAG